AGGAAAACGATATCGTTTATGGCACTTTCCTTCTTTTAAAATCTTAAAAGATCTAGCCTTAATAGGGTATTTAGGTTTTTATGCTTATTTTTAGTAGCTTATTAAGATTTAAAGAGATGTTTTTAGTAAATGGATTAAAGAAGAGGAGTATCGGTTATCATATAGTAGGTGCATATCGTTTAAAACTCTTTCCTTACCATAAAAACTTGTATTATTCTTGCCTCTTTGATGATTACTTTATTTATCGTAAGGTTTTATATTTTTTCCAGATGATGTCATTTAGTATCATTTAGTATAGTGATATCATATAGTAGTGGAGCCTGTAATAGGTTGTTTGGAGTTCTCCCTTCCTATAGTTTATGTTTTCCTATAGTTAGTTATAGTTTTAGTTTATTTTCAAGTTATTTCTGGTCAGTTTTTAAATTACTTCTTTAAGAATAAATATGTAAAAAGGAGTACCGGGTATTATACAGTCATTGGTAGCTATACTTTATAGGGAAATCCCTAGCTTGCTTTATAAGAAAGATCTTACCTTCTTAAAGACTTTAAATTTTAATAATATTTTAAATTTTATAAGTAAGATTTAAGTACCGGGTATTATATACTCTTGTAATCAAATAGTAACCTGGCTTTCTTATAAAAGACCTTTCTGAATAACCTTGCTCTGAATAACCTTGCTCTTACGACCTTGCTTCTAACAAGCTATCTCACTTTGATTTCATAAATATACTATATATCTATATATTCTATATATCGGGAGTAAAGATATACAAAGTGTTCTACTGTTTACTTTTAATCAATTAATGTTTGAGAATTCCCCGCAAAGTGTAGATATATATTTTTACGACTTTATAATATAAAGTTTATACGGCCGGTGTCTGATTGTGGGGTGTACGTACGTACGGCGTTGGTGGTCGTTTTTTTTTTTTACGGCCGTGCAACGGTAAACAACTATCTGGGCATATCGTCATTATCTTCCGAGGCAGAGGCATCGGAATCGGCATCGGCATTGGCATCAACATCGGCATTATTAATTTCTGTTCAATTGGTTTCCTTTTGCCTATAGAGAGGTCATAGGGGCTGTGGGGTCTGGTGTTGGTTATAAGCATATGCATGTATATGATATATATATGTATATATCTATCAAACAATGCTGATTAACATGTTCGAATGCCTTCAAAATGTTGACTCACTCACGTTTCGAGTGTTGATGTAATGCTGCCATTGTTGTCGAGGTCGAGAGGGTGGAGGAGTGAGGAGGGAGGTCTGTGTGATGCTTGCACTGTTGATAGTTGATATGCAAAGGCAGACTATCTCGTGAGGGGCATACAAAATGACCGAAACTCAGGAAAACCGGTTCAATGAAAGCGAAAAATAACTAGCAAATCTCGGCCAGGTGACATTGCAATTACGTCACTCCCCCGGTACTCGTCTCATTGTCCGGGATTCCGATCTCCGACACTAAAAGCAACACAAACAAGCCGCCTTAAACGCCCGCTTAGCCCGCTAATGAACTTCATTTGCTGTAAATTGACTTTAAACGACAATGACTAAGTCTCCCCCCCCCCCAGAGTTGGAGCTGGAACTAGAGAGCTGGAACTCATGCTGGAGACAGGGAAGAACGTTCATTAACAGAAATTTTTGCGCGTTGTTTGTCATAATTATGATTACCTGACTGGCTGACTGGCTGGTTGGTGAAGAATTTGGGAGAACAAGACAGGCAGGCAGGCAGGCAGGTGACACCAAAGGTGAACGCTACTTTCTACCGTGGGCCAGTTTCGTGGGGTCAGGCGTGTGCGGTTCTGGTTTCTAACCTTTGGAGGTCTGGAAAAGGTTAATTATGATCTTGAATTCAGATTGAGATGCAATCTGAGTTCACTGGCAGACGCAGCTGTAGCTATAGATGGTATTATGTAACTGACAGATGGATTACCGGCTGGGGAGTGGGAGTGGGGCTGCAGTTTGTTCAGCTGGCCCCAGGAAGGGGGCTTCTGTTATTTTATCTCCCACCACCCCACCCACAGTAGGGGATTAGTCATCCCCCCTGATCGATAAAGGTGACTATGATGTATGAGAATGAGATCTATTTGGAGGAGCAGGTAGGTCCTATGTCTGGTTCCTTGTCTTATCGCCAGGGTACTGTCTTATCGGAACGTAAATGGATTTATGTTCTACAAGCTATAACTTGCCTCAAATGACAATTGCCACATAATTCACTCGCTGATACAATGCCTATTAAAAAACCAATTACGTTTAAATACCTTGTGCCGCTCTCTCCCCAAAGAGAGCGAGCGGGAGAGAGGTTAACCTGCCAAAAGGTAGAAGAGTACTGCCGTTAGCCGATAAATTCTTGATGCGTAAGCACTTTTTTGTGAACTCTTTGCCGAAAGGGTTGCCAAGTCATTCCAGTGGAGGGGAAATCCGACAGATTCATTCATGATTCATGAATAGGCTTGTCAGAGCATAAGTATGTTTGAAGACAAGTGAGTCACTATAGTCAGTAACACTTCCTGTTCAAGTCAAGTATCCTGGCAACCCTAACAGTTCGAGTGCACTCTATCGATTAAGGGCCAACAAGAGCGAAAAGAGGTGCCATGGCTTATCAGTAGTTGCCTCCAAAAAAAGAAGAGCCCATTCGTGGTGGGGCGGGAGGGGTGTGCTACCTTTCCGAATTATCGGGCGGGCACTACCTGGCATTTTTTATTGCAATCTGCAAGTGCAGCTGTTTTTCCCTCGGTGAGTAACTTTCGGAAGCGATGCACTCGCTCCTTCGCACTTAGCATAGCACTGGACGGGCTTTTTTGTGATTCAGGATGACGCGCGCACTGGGAAGGCAAGGCAAGGTGGCGGCCGCTCTCCGCTGCTCCAATTACGGCGCTCTCGCATATGTAGGAGCCGATAAGGCTCCGTTCGATTGGCCAAGTGTATGTATTTTGCTTTTATGATAAAAGCAAAGGCATAAATAGCCCGCCCGCCGCCATATAATACTCAGTTAGTTCTCAGCACCAGCTTGTTGAAGGCGATCCAGTGTAAAGCAGGAAGGAAGGAGAAGCCGGACGGAGGAAGAAGAAGCTAGCCCAACGCCATTACAGCCACCCACGATATCCTTGCCGCTCACTAACGCTCTCTCTCGCAAGCTCTCTTTATCGCGCGCGCGTTCTCGCTCTCGCCCTTTCAAACTAACGGTCTACTTCGTGGACTACTCTTGCGATCTTCGCTCTCCGGCGCGTGTCCGTGCAAGATTGCGCCTGTGTGCCTGAGTGTGTGTGTGCAGATCAATTAATTTTTTTTGTTTGTGTTTATTTTTCGCGAAAAGAGCGAAGAAGCAAGAAGGAATTCACTTAACAAATACAACAAAAAATAATCAATTGCGATTGCGAGTGAAAACAAACTGGAATAATGGCCGATATTATCAACATTGAGCAGCACCAGACGATCGAGGAGTTCAAGCAGAATCTCGAGGAGCTTATTCCCGATGTAGGTGGCGCTTTCTCAACTCTTCCAAAGGGGATAAAGGGAGAGGGTGGCTTAAGAGGAGATTAAATCTCTTTAAAATATGTAGTTAAGGGAGGATGATCTCTGAGGAGTATCTTATATTTCAAGTAGGACTGTCATTTTATTACTCACAACTCACGTAATCACTCCCTCTCGTTTATTTGCGGTTTCCCGGAACACTTTATGGCTTTTTAATCGATAACACCAATGACTGAAGACCACAAACACGCACAGGAATACCCATACAACTACTCCACCTAGGGGCCCTACTACAGTGGACACCTTCGATAAAGTGCACGCGCCTTCAGCTGACCCCTATATCCCACCTCCTACTCCCACCCCTATAGCCTGTAGGCATAATCACTTCCGCTCCATGTCAGTCATATGCTGGGCACTCTCTCCCTATCATGATTCTTGGAAACCAAGGACATTACCCTCGATGGTAGCCCCCCTCCTGAGCACCTGCACCCACCCACCCAACTGGTATCATTACCATATACGTAATCGAGTGCTGTTTTCGATTCCATGTTCGCCTTTTTGGCGCACAGACATTTATCTTATCGGCAAACAGCGCTAGCGGAGCAATCAACGCTCCACCATTGGCAACACCACTGAGCTGCCATAAATTCCGCAGTCCAGTATCGGGTGATACGTACATAGAGGTGCCTTTATGCCCCCACCACCACCACCACCACCATACCATCGCCACCTTGCTCCAATTTCGAGTATTTCGCGAAGCTTTTACGACACCACCCGGCTCCGGCTCCGGCTTCAGCTCTGGGCTAACTTTTTGGTTTTCCCCCCAATTTGGGATTTAGGATTTGGGATTTGGGAAGTCGTCCTAGTCGGACCTAGCTCCCAACTATAGGCAGGGAGATGCCCTAATAGAGAGTCTATTGGGCAAGGTTAGTAAGGACTTGGTAGGGTTGTAGGGTTCCGAGGAGTAAAGCCGACTAGCTAAGCCTTAAGTTTATGACTAATATTAGGAATAAGAGCTTTAATCTAATCAGAACAGAGGGCCTCTATTGATTGGCCAAGGGGGATTGATTATAGGAGACCACCACGATGGCCAAGTTTTTAAATAATGAGTCATATTCGTGGCCAGAGATCTCACCTCTCTTAGTCATCCGGTGGAGAGCTGGAGGAAATTGATTTCCAAACTATTTTGGGCTTTCACTTTTTGGGGGTTTTGGAGGAGGTCTCCCTCCCTCCCACGGCACGCTGTCAATCAGTCAGGTGAGAAATAGTTCCTCCGAGTCGGTGAGATAACACCCATAGCTGCGATAAGACGGTAGCCGGAGATCGGAAGAAGCATTATTTTGCATACCAGAGATAGAGCAGGTGGGGGCCAGTGGCCAGACTTGATGATTGATGACTCACAGATGGATCGAATGAGTTACTCATATGATCGGAGGGGGGGAATTACTCATGGGGGATGACCTCGCGGGGCAGATGAATCATGGCAGATGGCAGAAAACTAATCAGAGCATCTCTCCCTCTTCCAGCTGGATGCCAACAAGGATGGCTTCATTGACCTGCACGAGCTGAAGGATGCCCTCAACCAGGTGGGCTTCAAACTGGCCGGCTACCAGGTGCGCGAGATGATCGACGAGTTCAAGAGCAAACAGCGCACCGCCCACCAGGGCAAGCTCAACCTGGAGGAGTTCGAGACGCTGTGCCTCGACCTGAAGAGCAAGGACGTGGCCAGCACCTTCAAGACGGTCGTCTCCAAGAAGGAGAACCTGGAGACCCTCGGCGGCATGTCGAGCATCTCATCGGAGGGCACCACGCACTCGGTCCGCCTCGAGGAGCAGCTGGCCTTCTCCGACTGGATCAACTCGAACCTGGGCCACGACAAGGACCTGCAGCACCTGCTGCCCATTGATGGCGAGGGCAAGCGCCTCTACCAGAGCATCAAGGACGGCATCCTGCTCTGCAAGATCATCAACCACTCCTGCCCGGACACGATCGACGAGCGGGCGATCAACAAGAAGAACCTCACCGTCTACCGGGAGTTTGAGAACTTGACCCTCGCCCTGGTCTCCTCCCAGGCCATCGGCTGCAACATCGTCAACATCGATGCCCACGACCTGGCCAAGGGCAAGCCCCATCTGGTCCTGGGCCTCCTCTGGCAGATCATCCGCATCGGTCTCTTCAGCCACATCACCCTGGACAGCTGCCCCGGTCTGGCCGGCCTCCTCTTCGACAACGAGCGACTGGAGGATCTCATGAAGATGTCCCCGGAGGCCATACTGCTGCGCTGGGTCAACCACCATCTGGAGCGGGCCGGCATCTCGCGCCGCTGCACCAACTTCCAGTCGGACATCGTCGACTCGGAGATCTACTCGCATCTGCTGAAGCAGATCGCCGGCAACGACGCCGACGTCAACCTGGACGCCCTCCGCGAGTCCGACCTGCAGAGCCGGGCCGAGATCATGTTGCAGCAGGCGGCCAAGCTGAACTGCCGCAGCTTCCTCACGCCCCAGGACGTCGTGAACGGTGTCTACAAACTCAATCTGGCCTTTGTGGCCAATCTCTTCAACAACCATCCCGGCCTGGACAAGCCGGAGCAGATCGAGGGCCTGGAGTCCATTGAGGAGACGCGCGAGGAGAAGAGTGAGTACTTTGATTGGCACTTTGGAGCTCCCCTATTGATATTCCCTATACCTATTCCTCTCCAGCTTACCGCAACTGGATGAACTCGATGGGCGTGTCGCCGCACGTGAACTGGCTGTACTCGGACCTGGCCGATGGCCTCGTCATCTTCCAGCTCTTCGACGTCATCAAGCCCGGCATCGTCAACTGGAGCAAGGTGCACAAGAGGTTCACCCCGCTGCGCAAGTTCATGGAGAAGCTGGAGAACTGCAACTATGCGGTGGACCTTGGCAAGCAGCTCAAGTTCTCCCTGGTGGGCATTGCTGGCCAGGATCTGAATGACGGCAATGCCACCCTGACATTGGGTGAGTATCCTCTCCCCCCACTCGATTGGTTTCGATTTCCATGCTAACTCTTGGACTTTCTGGGAACAGCTCTCATCTGGCAGCTGATGCGCGCCTACACCCTGTCCATCCTCTCCCGACTGGCCAACACCGGCAACCCCATCATCGAGAAGGAGATCGTCCAGTGGGTGAACAACCGCCTGGCGGAGGCCGGCAAGCAGTCGCAGCTGCGCAACTTCAACGACCCGGCCATTGCCGATGGCAAGATCGTGATCGACCTGATCGACTCCATCAAGGAGGGCAGCATCAACTACGAGCTGGTCCGCACCAGCGGCACACAGGAGGTGGGTTTATAGATTAGAGTCCCGAGATTAGAGTCAGTAATGCTTATACTTTGTGTGTCCTGCAGGATAACCTGGCCAATGCCAAGTACGCCATCTCCATGGCCCGCAAGATCGGTGCCCGTGTCTACGCCCTGCCCGAGGACATCACCGAGGTCAAGCCCAAGATGGTGATGACCGTGTTCGCCTGCATGATGGCCCTGGACTACGTACCCAACATGGACAGCGTCGACCAGAACAACCACAACAACGCGGCAGTGCCACCAGTGGCGGTCGTCACCAACAGCAATTAAGTGGAAAGGACTACAACTCAATTATACACCTACAGAAGCCAACAGATAGTGTGGACAGGGCAATAGGGCACTGGGTGGACACCACTATTCCACTCTCATCCCCTCCTCGGACTTCCCCCCCTCCTCCAACAACAACAACAACTTGTCCTTGTATCGGCATCTACATGCCCACCTTTTTTTTTTTTTTTAAATTGCGATTACTTTTTGTAATTTTTTTTTATTATATATTTAAACATATAGCCTAGCCGGGAGTGTCCAGCCCTCGTCTGTGGCTTGTAATAAGGGGGGAGGCACTGCCCGGTGACTGGCTTTTTTGTTCAACAAGTGTGTTGCACGTACAACCTTATTTTATAAATAGGGATTTTCTTTGCTTTCCTCCTTTGCCTTAAAATATTAACCCCTATAGTCCGTGCAGGATCGTACATGTTCGTGCATGTCTGTGCAGTATGGAGAGGCAACAATTGTAATATTCACACCGAGACACTGAGAAAAAAACAATTAACTTTGTAATATATATACATATATATTTATATACGACTACGATATGCGCCTATACACACACACACATGAATATATCTCTATATATATATATTTACATGAATCGATATACGATATACGATATATTTTTGCATAAATGATCGAGAGAGAGTAACGTAACCGTAAACTTCAAAGAAAAAACAAACAAAAAAAAAAAGGAAAAAAAAAAAGAGCAACACCTTTTGTATTTAATTATTTTTGTATTTTTTTTGTAAGCGAGATTTGTTTATGTTTTTTTTTTCCACGTGTGTGTGTTTTTTGTTCTACTTCTTTATACATATTATATATTTTTTGTTTAACTTTGCGTTTAAGAGAGAGAGAGAGAGAGGTTTAATTAGAAAGAGAGGGCGTCATGGGGGCGCCAGACATGACGGAGATGGCAACACGGATGGTTTTTTTAGTGCAATGAGGCGACATATTTAAAAATAAAAAAGCAACAAATTACAAAATACAAATTAAAAATTAAAAATTACAAAATAAAAACTAAAAACTAAATAATATTAAAAACGGAAATGCAAAACAGAAACAGAATCGTGGAAAACAGACCAGAAAAAGATGAAGTACTACTATATGCATTATAAAAATAAAACAATAAAGTAAATCTACAAAAAAAATACTAAAATTTAAAACTATTTTATTAATTTCATAATTTGTATTGCAATTTCCAAGCTATAATCAGGTAATGCCCCATATTCTTGGTCTGAAATCAGAAACTAGCCCTCGTAGGATGACTCAGGAACTTGGGAACTTGAAATGGATCACCTTCTGGGCCTGGAGATATGAATTTTTTGCTTTGCGCAATTAAAGCATGTCGATAAGGATCCCCGTAATCTTGGTATTTTCGGACCCTCCATCTAATCGCCGCCACCGCCAGCTTATCAGCCAGGGAGCCTCTCACGTGGCCAGAAAATCGAGAGTGGTCGGTCGGCAGGGGCAGGGCAGGGCAGGGGGTTCACAAATCAAATCGAGTTTCCAAATCAATCAGGCGCCGAGGTATCCGGATGTTGATAATGCCACTGGAAGGGCTATATTTTTGGGGTTGGGTTGGGGGGTTTTAGGGTTAACTTCTTGAATATTTTATAGAGGGTCTGGTAATGGTCTTTTGAATTTTGAAAAGAAATTAATGATCTATTCATTTAAGTTTTCAAAATCAGCGCCCTTAAGTATGCAATATTATATTTTAGCTTTCGCCTATAGCCAAAGCCTACTTTTGGGGGTTCAGTCCTTGTCTTCTTTTAGGCTTTCTTGTTAATATTTTATGAAATATGTTTAAAAATATCAAACCTGAAATAAATACAAGTAAAGGAATACCATATTTAGAAGCTAATGTTTCAAAATATATGCCTTGAACCTTCTATAACTATCTATTATTAGTATAGTTTTTATATTAGTTCAAGTTTAATCACCATCTTAAAACTGGCCACTTATTCATTTCCTCCTGAAACTCATTTCCTGGGCACTTCCTTTCCAAATATTAAGAAGAGGAAATTAATATTCATATTATCTGACTAAGAGAAGTCTTTAAACTTAAAGCTTTACAATATTCAAAGATCATTAGATTCTTGAATAATTTACCATAGATATCGGACAACCGATACAAGAAGTTACAAACAAAACTGGCAATCAAAACAGTGGTAATTGGCCTTGGCCTTTAGGCGTATTTTTTTTTATCAAATAATGGCAAGTGGGAGTTCCAGAATTATTTCTCATAGATAACTAATAGGTGATGTGCAATAGGCTTAGGCCCTTATCGGTTATCGGAGAATTAAGTCCACCAGACAGAAGATCCAGACCACCAGACAGAAGTATAAAAGGCCCCACAGCCCCATGTGGTGGATATAGTTATTCCCAATCATGAAGTATCTACTGGTTCTGGCACTCTGCTTTTTGGCTGTGAGTTTTACCAAAGAAAATAAATATCCCTAAGTCTCATATACTAACACCCCAATCCTGCCCAACCAGGTCAATGCCCTGGTGGTGCCGTACAACGGCGAGGATCAGGAGGAGGACCTCCGTCTCTTCAGCGCCACCTACAGCGCCCTCAAGACCGCCCTGCGCACCATCAAGGGTCTCAGCTGCATCATCGACTGGGTGGTGGGGATCAAGGCCAGTGCCGAGAAGTTCAACTCGGACATTATCCTATGTGGCGTGACCGCTAGCAAGGATGTGACCAACCTGATAAACGCCAACCTGGAGATCATCAATTCCTGCAGCAACATCATCAACCTGAAGTCCACCATTTGCGCCGCCGCCGACGATGAGGAGGCCAAGATCACCAACAGCTGCTTCGTGAAGACCGTCGCCCAGGTGTGGAAGCTGAAGAAGCAGGTGGAGAAGGCCGCCAGCCTGGCCGCCAAGCTGCCCCAGACCGGACCCAATGCCTCGGCCTGTGTCAGCGAGTCGGTGACCACACTGGTCGAGTACTACACCCTGTTCCCCCAAAACATTGTCAGCTGCTCCAAGCTGACTTCCTAAGAGATGGGATAGATACCACAAAACTGCGAGCATTTAATAAATTTTTTTTTTTAATATATTAGCTAAAGGTATTCTTTTATAATATTTTACAAATTATGGCCCTTAAAAGTTTTCTTTTAAGACATACTTTTGAGTTTGAAAAGTATGACTGTTTGGCCATGATTTTGAAGGTCTTTATATCTTCTATCTTTAGAAGAAGAGATATGGAGATATGGATGGAAAGATATACACTTGTATGTACAATTATTTATATTTATTCCTACAGGCTGGAAGATCGGTTGCCGGTTGACCCTAGGAAGTGGAATTAAACGCTTAATCAGTAGAATTAGTAGAGTTAACTAGTAGAACCCTTGAAGTAAAAATTAAAGAGCCTTTCTAATATTTGAGGAAGCTCAATGGATTGGAAGGATAAAGTACTTTGACAATGAATGCATAGGTACTACCTAATAAGGTCTATTAGGACACTGAAAGGAAACCAATAGGATCCCAACAGGTTAGGATCCCAAAGGAATGGAGTTAATATGATTTTTCAATTGATTTCCTTTTATTTCCAGAGGATCGGTAGCAAAAATACATCCAATAGGAAGACCACTTGGAAACTGAAGGTAAAGTCGAGTCCTTAGACCCTTAATCCCCACTCCCCAATCATCCCCACTAAGAAATATACCTAATTTTCATTTTTTCATAATCGTATTTATTTATTTCGTCCCTTCATGACGCCCCTACTGCTGTCCCTTTATGATGGCGATGCACTGGTTGATGTTGGGCATGTAGGCGTTGCAGGAATCGACCACAGACTGGGTGGCGGTTATGTAGCAGTTGCTGGTGTCCTTGGGCAGCTTGGCGGAGTTCTTGATGATGGAGTTCATGCGGCGCACAATTTTCATGGATGTGATGAACATCTTCCTGCCGCAGTTCACCCAGTTCTTCAGCCAGAAGGAGGAGCTGTTCTCGTCCTTGGCGCACAGGGTGTTCAGTTGGGTGAGGCTGTTGCCCAGAGTAATCATTTCACTGGCAGTGTTCACAATGGCGAGCACATCCTTGGGCATGGCAGTGGTGCACTTAGCGACATTCTTAACATAGCTGGTGCAATCAAGGACCACATGAGCCGTCTCATCGACGATGCACATGGTACCGTTAACACCATGGAATCCAGCCTTCAGGACTTTCCAGCAGCCGCCGACGAAGCCGTGAGGCTCAAAGTCCATGAAATCCATGTCGTCCATGCCCTCCATGTCCATGCCGTCCATGTCCTTGTCCATGCCAGTCATGGCGAGGTCATCATAGCCGATGGCGTTGGCCTAAAAAATTCAAATATATTTAAGATCGTTTATTTAAGTTTTTCTTCACATTTCGAGCACTATACACTTTTGTTTTGGTTTCTTTCAAATAATCAAAAAAAAAAAAACAAAAAAAAGGGTTTCAAGAGGGGTATTATCTTTTTTTTGTGATTTGTTTTTGTCACACTTATGGTTCTTTTTTTTTTTTAGATAACGATGATAATGAGTACTCGTGCACTTCTCAACCTCCTCGATCTTTGGAGGAGACACCGGCAGGACACTTACATTGGCGGTGGCCAGCAGGAAACTGGCAGAGGCCACAATCAAAAGGCAGACGTTGAGGACTTTCATTGTTGGAATATTCACTGGCGAATGTTTGCTGATCGATCCCTGGAGTTTGTTTATATAGGAAAGAGCCTCCATGGGGATGGCAGCCTCTAATCAGTGGCTACCACGCGTCAAGTGGTGATATTCGGTAAATTAATATGAGCTTAATTTAGCTACCAAAGTCCGAAACTAATTTGACCTTATCTATGCAGGGAGCTGCTGGTCACCAACCTGACGGTTCTCGGGGCCAGATAGCTTCGGCGTGGCTCTGGTTATCACCTAACACCAGCACCAGCACCTGAAGATATTGACCAGATTCAGTGGCGCTATCACTCGATGCTGCACCTGCGCAATCTCCGGTGGACTGTGACTCCCAAACCCACAAAAAGGAAATAATATACCTAAGGTTGTTCTAATTTTAAAAGCAGCAATCAAAACAAACCCCTTGGAGCCGTCTATTTATCAAAACGACATGCATCTTCGATTTGAAAATAACATTAAAATAACCTCCAAGGCGTTAAGCTGATACTGAGGATGGGAGGCAAGACACCATCCAAGCAAGACACCATCATCATCATCCAAGTTAACCACTACAATCCCGGCTTCCGGCTCCAACCAGCGAAATAACTACAGAACAAGCACCATCATTAGTAATGTAAGAAAACATTAAATTGTAAGTATTTTATTGTAAGAAGAAGGTATGTATAAGTTTAGATAATAATCCTAATAGGCTAATCCAATTTATCAATAAAACTAATTTTGTAATAGGCATATATATATATGTAGATAAATAAATATGTTAAATATACATATATATTTAAAATTAATCTTTTTTGTTAAAAGTGTGACGACGATGATGACGGTTATAATGGGTATTTGAGGGGTATTTTTTCAGAATTTTGCCAATTTAAATTATCACCAATTTTAAGAACTTTTTCAATTTTTCGGAATATTCCCTATTTTTCCAATCGTTTTTGGGTTTTCCGAATTTTTATAATTTTTTTAGATTTTTAGACTTTTCCGAAATTTTCTTGAGTTTTCCGGCATTTTCCAAAACTCTTTAAATTTTCCAGATTTTTCCTTTTTTTCCGATATTTTCGAATATTTTCCCGTTTTTCCCCGATTTGTTAAGATTTTTCGGATTTTTCTAGAGTTTTTCTAAATTTTTCCCGATTTTTCGACTTTTTCCACAAATTTTCCGGAATTTCCTTGAAATTTCCGACACTTTCCCGAATTCTTCGGAATTTTTTAATTTTTTTCAAAATGACTTGCACTTTTTTTTCACCTTCGAAAAGTGGATTTCGGCCCGCTACCAGGCTGGGAGTACCAGGCGAACAGAAACGGGCAGTAGGTGGATTCCATTTTTTCAAAATGTTTTTTGTGAATAACTCGGATAATTCGAATCCAATCCTGGATTGGGATGGCTCAAAAAACGTGGAAAAATACGTCCCATCTACCTGGCTAACAAGGTTTGGTATTGGCCAAGTTAACACGGATTTGTCTTAACAGTTAACAGATTTGTCTTATATATTTATTTTAAAAACTTCGTTTGTTTATATCTCGGTCGTTTTCCAACCGATCGGGAAGAAAAGTAACTTTCCAGGATCAGGACCTTAATATCCTTCGAACTGCATCAAAGGATCTTCATGAAATCCTTAAATGGCAATACTGATCCTTTCCTTAAATATGACTGCCGCTCGAAATTTTGGTGTTGGATTTTGAAAATCCTTTGATGCAGATCGAAGGATGTTCATGTCCTGATTCCAAAATTATATTCCATTCCAAGATCGGTTGAAAAAGTGCCGAGATATAAACAAACCAATTTATAGAAATATATTTCTAACATTAATTTCTTCACCGTTCCGTGTTAACTTGGCCAAGACCAGATTTTGTTAGCCAGGAAGATGGTCCGTATTTTTCTGCATTTTTTGACATACCACAATCTGGGATTAGAGGCCCAATAGCCGAGTTATTCACAAAAAACAATTTCAAAAAATAAAATCCACCTACTGTGCGTTTCTGTTCGCCTGGTACTCCGAGCCTAGTAGCGCCCGGAAATTAAAAAAATTTCAGCCTCTGATTTCAGCCACCATCTGTGACGTCACGGATTGAACTTGGAACTTTTCAAAAAGCTTGGGGAGCGCGGGCGGGAACTTTTTTGAATGTAAATTTTAATTAAGCGGATCGTAATTTGATCCACATGGCGCGGGCGGGAAATGTATTTTTTGAATTTGAATTTGAATTTAACGGTCTTCGATCAACTTACAATCCACATAAGTTCCACATAGGATCCACACAGGACCCACATAGGATCCACACAGGTCCCGCATAGGATCCACAATTAACCAAAGACACAAACCTGTTCAGCCAAGACACAAACCTGTGGATCAAAGCTCGGCTCGTGACGTCACAGATTTTCGAGGCTGAAATTTTTTAAGTTTCAGGCCGCTACCAGGCGTGAAGTACCAGGCGAACAGAAATGCATAGTAGGTGGATTCTATTTTTCGAAAGTGTTTATTACGAATAACTCGGCCATTTGGCATCCAATCCCGGATTGTTGTATGTCATAAAATGCAGAAAAATACGGGCCATCTACCAGGCTAACAAAGTCTGGTATTGGCCAAGTTAACACGGAGTGGCGAACAAATTTGTTTTAAGTATATATTTTTAAAAGTTCATTTGCTTATATCTCGGTCATTATCCAACCGATCTGGCAACGCTTGACATTTTCGAAATCAGCGTCCCAAAGTCTATCGAATTGCATACCAATTTTGTCGAACACGAACAAAAAATTTTTCGGCGAAAATCGAAAAATATCGTGATGTATAGCCTTTCCATTTTTGCAAAAATTCGGTCGAAAACGAGTTGTTCGATATCGAAAATCGTGGTATGCAGCTCGATGGACATTCGAACACTGATTCCGAAAATGTACAGCGTTGCCAGATCGGCTGGATAATGGCCGAGATATAAGCAAATGTACTTTAAAAAAAAATTATTTAAAACAAATTTGTTAGCCACTCCGTGTTAACTTGGCCAATACCAGACTTTGTTAGCCAGGCAGATGGCCCGTATTTTTTCACTTTTTGTGAGCTATCACAATTTACGATTGGATTAAAAATGGCCGAGTTATTCACAAAAAACATTTTGATAAAATGGAATCCACCTACTGCCCGTTTCTGTTCGCCTGGTACTCCGAGCCTGGTAGCGGGCTGAAATCCACTTTTTCGAAAATAAAAAAAAAAGTGCAAGTCATTCTGAAAAAAAAATTAAAAAATTCCGGAAAATGTCGGAAAAATTGGGAAAAAATTGGAAAAACTTGAGAAAATTTCGGAAAATCGGGAAAACGAAAAATTGGCAAAATAATTAGAAAAGGTCGGAAAATTCGAAAAAAAAATCGGACAAAATAGAGAAAAATCGAAAAGTTTTTAAAACTGGTGAACTTTTTTGAACGGAAAAGTATGAAAAGACAATTGCTGAGCTGAAAATGTTTCTTCGGTTTTTCGGAATCGGATTTCGATTCAATTGGAAAATCAATAAAAATGTATTTATATATTTATTAATCAATTAATTCGTTTATGGTAATACATATTGTAATATATAGGTTTATATTAATAATATTGTTTGAGCCGCGTATATAAAAACAAATAACAATAAAAAAATGCTTAAAAAATAATTAAATTAATGCCGTTACTTAATAAATTCATGCAGAGTTGCACACGCGAAAATAACTTTAAAAAATACAACACCTTTAAAGTTTTTATGAATAACAATACGTTTGCCAAAAAAAAAAAAAAAAAAAATTGATATTGGTGTACATAATTAATAGAATAGTAATAATTTTACGATTATGATATAGTACAGTACAGTATCTAGTTGTTTTCTTTACCATTTTGGATGTATGCTTACATTTATAATTTATATAATTAAATAAAATTTAAGAATTGCACAGGCTTCAAGTTACTTTCTTCATGTTGCAAGGTTAAAAAAAAAAAAAACAAAAAAAATGCACTTAGGGAATGGAATTTTAGATTAATGATTTTGGATTTTCGATTTTCGGTTCCCAGGCTTGCTTAAATGAGACTCAGGCGACTGTTGGTCTTCCTGAGCTGTGCCCGCCATGGAATAATGTTGTCCTCCTCCTCCTCGGCCGCTTCCTGTCCTGGATTTTCGCCCGATTGGTCCTGCCCAGCTTGATCCTGCTCTGTATCGTGGTCATCGGGATTCTTGGCGTCGCCATGGTTCTCCTTGTTACCGACAATCGGGAACTGCTGCTGCTGCTGGAACTGGATCTGCTGATAGTGCTGTTCCATGCCGGCCAGATTGATGTTGATGTTGTCGATGGACATGGCCCGGTTCTTGAGCCGCCAGGTGTCCGCCACCCGGTTGTTCTCCTCCACCTTGGGCGTGTAGATGGCCGCCCTGGAAGACAACACACCACCGGTGTTTTAGATGCTTCACCCCACCCCCTCACACACACTCTACCTACGGAGGCAAGACTTACTTCAGCTTGTTCTCCGTCTCCTCGCGCCGGGCCAGGAGATCGCGCTTCCACTGGGGGATCTGGGAGAGACGGCGCGACTCGGCCTCCTGTGCCATCCGCTCCTCAAAGTCCTTCTTGGCCCGTTCCGCCGCCTTCTTGGCCATCATCTGGCGCTTCCAGTCGGGTATGGCATTGCCGGCCTGGTCCTTTTCCGGAATCTGCAAGTAGATCTTTGCCCCGCATCTTAGTCACTCTGGCTCCATACGGTTAGAGGCATTGCCACTCACCTGGTCCACGTAGTTGTTGGCCGTGAACTGTTTTGTGATCTCCATGTAGTGTTCCGAGTCCATGCGATTGGCCATTTGCTGCTCCACCTTCATCTTCTTGATGCCAGGTATGTCCTTGGAGATCTTGAGCTCGGCGATCAGGTCGGACTTCAGATAGGTCTCCGTGGTGGAGGTCAGACACTGCATGCTCAGGCTGCGGGCGGGCATCTGGTAGGGCTTCGGCACCTTCTGGGTGTCCGTGCGACGGAGCTAGACGGGATTACACAGACCAAGATAATTACTAAGCATAGTGTGGGTACTCATCGAGACCAACCTGGACACTGTTCAGATCCTGTATAGAAATGGCCGAGAGCGGCTGGTGCTGCTTCCTGGTGGCCGTGTCCTGGCTACTGGGCGTCGCTCCGTGCGGCTTCTTCGGCTTGTGCGAGGACTTGCCGTTCATTGTGGCATCCTGGCCGCCTCCGGCCCCGCCCATAAGCGGCATCAAGGGCTGCGGCGGCAGCATGCCATGGGGCAGCGGAGGTGGCGGCGGCGGCAACGGCGGCTGATCTCCCATTCCATGGTGCTGGTGCGGATGCTGGTGATGCGGATGTGGATGGGGATGGGGATGAGGGTGGTGCTGGTGCTGGTGCTGATGTTGGTGCGACTGTGAGTGGTGCACCTGCTGCTGTTGCTGCTGGGCGATCTGTATCTGCATGTAGTCCTCCGTATCCGTGGAGCTGGAAGACAACAAGGAAGAGCAAGGGTTAGGGTGAGAGCTACTTTCACTGGACTGAGGCCTGGACTGAGATGGGTGAGTAGTGGGCAGTGGTCGGTGGACTGTGGGCGGACCTGCGCCAAGCGTGGCGTGTGCGCAGCAGCATCTTCGGATTGCAACTGAGTTGCAGTTGCAGCTGCAAGATCGCCAGGCAAGTGGCAGGCCGCAAAGTGGCACGCATAAAATTTCATGCACTCTTGAGCGGCGAGGAAAGATCTCACCATTTGGCTAGGTTTTTTTTTTTAGGAGAAAAGCTCTCCAATTAATAATTTATAAATAAAATAATAAAAAAAATGGCTAAAATGGCCAGTAACTTGAACTGTTTTAACTTCTAACTTTGATGTCTGGCTTATAATTTTTAATAAACTATCTAGCAGTAATCTTTTCCCTCTAGACCTGGCCAGAAAAAAGCCAACAACAGCTCCGATTCCTAGCCAGCTGCCAGCTGCTAATTGGCCAACATCATCCAAGCGTCTTGGAGCCGTGTTTCTACTGTTTATACTGTTTCTACTGTTACTTTGTTATTTATTTCTCGTTTGTTGTCTACTGACTGTTGGCTGATGGCTGGGTGGCTGGTTGGCTGGTTGGCTGCTGGCTTGTGCTGTTTTTGGCTAATTGAGGCGAGGCAACTGTACCGCCAATACTAATTATGGCCGCGGCTGCACGAGATCTGTTCCAGCAAATTAAAACGGCTGCCATCTGCTAATTGAAAGTGTTGGATTTGGGGATCTATATTCACAGTGCTGCTGTTCAGGAGGGGCGGACTAGTGGGGCGGGGCACTTACCGGGCGGAGGATGGACACGAACGCTTGTCGATGCTGATGCTCTTTAGATACTCGGACGGCTTGATGAGATGCGTGACTCCGTCCTGGGACTTGTTGGGGAAGCTGGGGGGCACGAACGGTAGCACCAGCTGCTTGTTAACCAGGTTGGGGCCACCGGGACGCTGGCCACCACCCGGCCCGGTCACTGAGCCCGTCGACTCGCCGTAGATCTGCTGTTGCTGCTGCTGGGCCAGCTCGTAGTGGTCCTCGGCGGAGGATCCACCACCGCCATAGATGCTCGGAGCATAGGAATGATGGTAGTGTTGCTGCTGCTGGTGCTGATGCTGGGTGGAGTTCTGGGCCTGGTAGTTGCTCCTCTGGGCCTTGCCGCCATCCGAGTAGCCATAGATGCTGCCGTTCCGGGACTGGTTGTTGCCGGGAGCACCGGCACCGGGTGCTGATGGGCCGCCCCCTCCATTCTGGGGAGCCAGTGCCTCCGGACTGATCTGGTTGTTGCCTCCGGACTGGGCATTCAGCAGCTTGGCTTTCTTGTTCGCTGGAATTGAACAAATTTATTTATGAGTTTCAGGCAGCTGAGGCAGTTTGTGGGTTAGCAGTTATCCCAGTCTGGCTTCGGTCATGCTGCCTTGAGCAGACTACATGGTACATGTATGTAACGTGGAGGTGTGTGTGGCTGGCTGCGTAGTTGCCGTTGCCGTTGCCGCCTTTCACCAGATCCGTAGACCTAGACAAAGAGAATCGCAGGCCTAGATGCATACGAGAGCACGAAATGCCTGGCGAAATGAATTGAAATTAATTCAAAGCTGAATCGGCATGGAAGCCACCAACGAGAAGAGCCACCAGGTACATTAGCACTCTGCTCCAGATCCAGATCCAGAGATACACAGACCCGGTGATAAGAATTGGCCACCAAATCACTTATAGCGGGGCGAAGGGTGGAAAAGTTCCACTGGCAGTGGCAGGCAGGTGGGTGATAAGTGGCCACTCGATCTAGCGACGCGACGAAGCCTCGCGAGAGATAAGGATTCAAATGCCGAAATATGGTATCAAGTCCAACACGAGGTCTAGCTGCTTCCAGCAGGTAATCAGCTTGAAACACGGAAATCCAAACAAAGAATTACTTCCTCCTGCAGTTTGGTCGTGGGAGTCTCTGCTCCCCCACCGAGTCTTGATGGGAATCTCAGCCAGTCAGCCAGCCAGCCAGCCAGATAATTGGACAAACAGCGCCCGCGACCGAACCCGAAACTTTCACGGCTCGGCAGACCCGTTTTCATGATCATGGCCAGCCTCATAAGGCCAGGCCAGGCCACTCAAAATCGAGTCGAGCCTGTTCGAACTGCTTCGAATCGGATCGAATATTTTGGCGACATGAAAAACGAGCGAACGCAATGCGAATTTTTCCACACATTTCCACATTTTCGTTTGTTAATTCGAGCGGAGTGGAGCCGTTTTTTAGCTTGTCAACAGAGCCGGTCGTTATAGATATGTACGTGTGTGCCTTGGCGGAGAAATTTGATGTCCAGCTCGATTGCGTTTACGAGTGCAATGTCTCTTTTAAGGTGCTTTGGCTAATGAATTATGATGACGGGGACTGGGCAGAGGACTGGGCTTGGGGTGTCGGAAAGGACATAACTTTATGGATTTTATGGGACTAGTTGGGATAGTTGGATTACACTCCACACCAAGTACCCTCTTCCACTAATCTATCTAGTTATATGATTGTATCCTTGCATCACAGGCTTTTAGTCCTGAGGTTTGTTTCAAGATCCGGACTATGTCCCTTGCCAGAGAGAACCTCTTTGGAAGGAGTGGAAGTACTATAACCTGCAAACTTACACCGAAATATATCAAATCTCTGAAAGCTGAGGGTGAAGTAATTCCTGCGCGAGTTCTTGTGGATCTTCACCGAGCCTAGCATGTTCATGCTTCTGCTGGTCTGTTGGTCCAAGGTCCTGCTCCAAGAACAAGGATGAGATCTTCAGAAAGAAAACATGATGAGACACTGAATATATCAAGAAATCGCGACACGCCGGAACAGAAACAGAGGACGCGGACGCGGACCGAAGCCAAGTGGCTGCAAAAGTTGACTGAAGTGAGTTCGGGCCATCGGCAAAGTTATTCACCCAAGACGGCCAGGTTGCAGCTCTGAGCCAACTTCAACTCCAACTCCAACTCGAAAACACGTTCACTTTCGTTGGGTAAAAGTTTTCACCCGCAGATCCCCCCCACAGTCGATACCCGATTGGAGGATTACAATTGGAGGGGGCGTGGCGCTATGTATGGGCGGTGGGCTGTGGGAGGTGCGGGTGGCTCGTCATATGGATGGGATAGACATGGTCGCTGGCATGGGCTGCCAATTATGGAGAAGACTTGTTGACTTGCGGCTGGCAAATCGCTTCCTCATCGCGATCGCCACGGGCCTCATCGGGGATACACTCGAAAAAATGGACAGGATTTGGAAAGGTGGGATAAACCAGAGAATACCAGAGGTTAAAGTGCGTTGAACCCAAGAGGTCTCCTCCTTGAGTCTTAACTTCTGTTAACAATCTTTAAGCCTAATCCTTCCATTAAAAAATAGATCTTCTCTCAGTGTAGGCCATAATCCCATGACTCGTGTTGCCAACAGTCAAGTGGCTGGCGAATTGTTTTGCCATCGAGCTGCCGACACTGGCACTTCCACTTTCCAGCACTTCCACCTCTTTGTTTCGGCCACGATTTCCACGGATCTCCTCCTGCCGTGTGAATGTTGGCTCAATTAAGGCCTCTCCACCTGCCACCTGGCCCCTGCCTCCCCCCCCCCCCTCCCGGGATATAATGGCCAATTAACAAATGGAATACAAACACATGTCAAACATGGAGTCGGAGCCGGAGCCAGGCCCATCACTCGCATTTCTTTCATTATGATTGCTTTTTGCAATATTGTTTATGGCCGCTATTATGGCGATTATTCCGAATATTCGACATTACTGGTGGTGTGGTAATGAGGCACTGTCTCGCGGAGGAGGCGCCTCTTCCCAGGTTCGAACAACAACTAGCAGGTCTGAAGCTAGAGAGGATCATCAGCCCACGACTTCTATTTTCTACCAGAAACCCCCCACTATTGACGGGTCAGGGTTATCCTTGAGAGGATTAGGATAAGAAGGACAGACACATTCCCCTCCACATCCACCCAGTTGAAAGATCTCACTACGTTTACGGTCAATTTTAATGGACTAGTGGGTGCAGTGCTTCGCCTGGAGGCGATGCCGCTGGAAGACGCTGCCCTTGACGGTCGGATTGTCGATGCCGCGGGGGTGGTGGTGGCAGCAGTGGTGACAGCAGTGACAGGTCCGCGTGTCGCACTGCTTCCGCTGGTCAGGACTGTGTGGCTTCGCCAGAACACGGGCGCCGGGATAAGGGCTGCGACGCTGCTCCAGGATCGAGTCACCAACACGGGTGTGGGGCGGGGGACGCCCGCGCGGTATGGGGTGCAACGGCGGAATCATCGAAGTCATGCCCTGGGTGAGGATCGAGGGACTGGGCCATATCGGACCCGTGGGCGGGGCCACCTTCACCCCGGTCAAATGGCGATCCAGGAGCTCCAGCTCATGCTGGCTATTGGATCGCGAATCCAAGCTTTCCAAGAAGAGGGTACTGTTGCCCGCGCTGTAGATGATGTATGTGTCCTTGGTGGGGGGCGTCTTGCTTCTGGAGAAGTCCCAGACGCAGTCCACGCCTCTCGTAGGTGCCTGGACGGTGGCATGGCTGTGGGCGGGAATGAGGTTGTTCTGGTGCTTCACTGGAACCTGAGCAGGGACCTCAGCCTCTTTTACCGCCTCTTCCGCGGGCGCTTCCTCATCCTCATCCTCGTCCGCCTCCACCTCCTCCTCCTCCCACTCCTCGGCGTCGGAGGACTCGCCCTGTTGGTCGGAGGAGATGGAAGAGTTGCCACCATCGCCATCGCCGTCGTCTTCACAGCTGCTGGAGTTCTCGCTGTCACCGTTGTTGTTGTTGATTGTTTTGCTGCAGTTGCTGCTGCTGCTGCTGTTGGTGTTTCTATTTCTGGTGGTACTGCTGCTGTTGGAGGAGCTGCTTGCCCCCACCACCGCATCCTGGCTGATTGTGCCGCCCTCGCTGCTCATTTCGCTGCCGCTGCCTACCTCGCGGGCCTGTAACCTACTACACTGCTGACCAATCTTGCCCAAATAGTTGGAGCATCAGGAATTTTGGAGACTAATCAGGAATTTGGAGATAAAAACAAATCCGAGAGCAAGAGTGTGCCAATCGAGACGATCCGGTAGAGGTGCTTTAAAAATAATGAGCATCTCCCAAGGGGGAACTCCATTTCAAACGAATACTGAAAGGTCAAGGCACACTTTGTTTGAATCTTGTGGAGTTCTAGGCTTCTAATCTTGGTGTTCATCCCAAAACCCAAGCTTGGACTAGGAAAGAGGAGTATGCCTCCTTCAAATAGGAGCTTCCAACATCCCCTAGTATATCCCACAAGAAACCAGTATTTAAGACTCCAAAACACTCACCCGATATGGTCGACATGGTGCGATTGTGATTACCCCTCACCAGCTCCGATGGCCGCAGACTGGGCTCCTCGATCACCTCCAGCCCCGAGTCAGAGTCCACCGCCTCATTGGAGCCTCCAGCTCCTGGGTTAGCATTCGAAACTGGAGCCACCACTCCTCCTCCCACATTACTGGAAGAACCAAAGACGTTCTTCTTGTAAATGTTGTTGTTGGGATTGTTGTTAGTGTTGTTGTTTGTATTGTTGTTCATGTTGTTGTTGTTGGCCACCTCAGCGTTCAAGTTGTTCCTCTGCTGCTGAACTGGCGCTCGAAGCGGCGGCGGCAAGGGCGGTGGCGGTGGTCCATTAACTGCGGAAGGATAAGATTAGGATTAGGATTAGGATTAGATACATCTCCATGTAATCCCTAGATTCTGGCACTCACCTATGGCCACATTCTGCATGGGTGGTGCCGAGGAGACCCTCTTCAGGTTCCTGCCACTCTGATTGTTGTTGTTATTGGGAGCTGTTGTGGTGTCCGCCAGGTTGTTGCGAATCATGGAGTTCTTGTGGGCCTGCTTGGTCCTCTCGGCCACATCCTCCGGCGGGCAGACGCTCTCGTAGGTGTCGCTCTTGATGCCACCGTTGAGCAGTTGGTTCTTCAGGTTGACGTTCTTCGAGCTGTAGTTCTCCTTCAGCGGTGATTCGTACTTGCTGCTATGGAGCCCGATAATCGAGTGCGACTTGTTGCGATTCAGCAGGCTGTTGTTGTTGTTGTTGTTATTGTTGATATGATTGTTACTATTGTTGTTGTTGTTATTGTTGTTTATGTTGCGCTTGTTGTTCAAGTGCTGAAGTAGAAGAAGACATTAGTTTCCAAGCTGATTCGAAGCTCAAAGCTATGGAGATTTGGAAATCGCTTTCCCAGAAGCACCTAAAAGTATGCATCACTTTCTGAAAACTTCCAATACTCACATGATTGCTGTACTGGAGTACAATGTCCGTGCTCCGGGTGGAGCTGGCACTGGCCGAGCGCGAATGGGAGCCACTGTCCCGCGACCGAGACCGTCCCACGTTGTATTTGTGCAACTGCTGTTGGTGCTGCTGTTGCAGTTGCAGCTGCGCCGTCTGGTGTTGCTGCTGCTGGTGCTGGTGCTGATGCTGCTTTCGCGACTCCTCCCGCACCAGGTAGATGTCCTCGTAGTCATGATCCCCGCCCCCACCGCCGCCAACACCTCCACCACCACCGCCGCCCCCGCCGTTCTGCGATCCTGCCATCGCCTTGTGCGGCTTGTAGCTGATGTTGCTGCTGCTGCGGTTGAAGCTCTGGCTGCGCAGGTGCTGCATCTGTTGCATCTGCTGCATCTGCTGCAGCTGCTGTTGCTGCTGCTGCTTCGGCGAATTAAAGCTGGAAGAGATGGAGACGGACTCGTCCGAGCCGCTGCCGGCGCCACTCGAACTGGAGTGGACGTCCGCCTGGATGGTCATCGCGTTGCCCGCCTTGGACTGCAGCAGCTTGCCGCCGTGCTGCTTCACGCTGCTGCTACAGTCGGAGTCCACGAACAGATCCCGCACCCGGTTGTAGATGATGTCCTGCGGGTCGTGCAGGAAGAAGGACTCGCCGGAAATGCTGCCATTCGGCGAGGGCGAGTTGTAGAGCCCGCCATTCCGCATGGGATTCACGTAGAGGCCGTCGTTGGGCAGCAACTGGGCGCCACCACCCGACGGGCCACCGCCCCCTCCGCTGGAGGATCCACCTCCTCCGTTATTCCCCGGGTTTCCGCCCAGCGATCCGTTGTACAGCTTCTCGGAGGAGCTCCGCGACTGCTGTGAGTACAGGGCATCGCTGTTCTTCCGGGCGATGCCCAGCCCCAGGATGCCGGATCCTCCGGCCCCGGTGACTGCCGGCGGGTGCAGGTAGAACGGCTCCACGTCCGAGCTCAGAGTGGAGGAGGACTTGGACTTGATGGTGTTGCTGCGACTGGTCTGCTTGGAGGAGTTCGAGTTGGAGTTGCAGCTGCTGCTCAGGGGATGCTGCTGCTGTTGCCCAGGATGCGACTGGTGCAGTTGCTGCTGCGACTTGTGGCGCTGTTGGGAGCTGCCGCTCTTGCCGTTGTAGTCCACCGATGTTCCATGCTGAACCAAAACATTCAGGCACTGCGGAAGGGAAGCAGAGGGATTAGTCTTCGTAGTCTTAGTGGAGGGCAAGAATCTCTCAAATACCCACCTCGACCTGCTGATTTTCAGCGGCATCGTTTATCGGCGACTTGCCGTACTTGTCCAGGGAGAGCTTGGCTCCGTGGTTGAGCAGCCAGCGCACCACGGATAGGTGTCCCCGGGAGGCGGCAAAGTGCAGGGGCGTGGCCCCATCGCCGTCCCTCAGGTTGGGGTCGACGCCCTGGTCCTGGACCTGCACCACACGAGTATATATTAGTATAATAGGAGTCTAATCTATCAATCAGATGCCTCGCACATGCCTTGACTGCCCGCTGTCTTCATTTGGCAAACGCTGAAGTGCGTTTCGCTACCCAATCCCAATCCATCCTCGTTAACGCTTGTCGGGCTGGCCAAGTATCTGCGAGATAGCCAAGTATCTCACGGCGGCGAGCAGTGTGGAAAGTGGTTTTCTTTCCAGCCGTCTCAGTCGCAAGGCAAATGAAAACTATTTAGTTCAATTTAGAAAGGTGATTTTCCCCCACCGATCGCACTGATCTTGAAAATGCATTCTATTGGCCGAGTATCTAAGTATCTGAGTATCTGAGTATCTGAGAGTCTGTGCTTTGCATAAGCCAGGCAGGCGGCTGGCACTCTCTCCGCTTCGCATTCCCCCGATTGATAAATTGTACAGGTCGCGCGACAAACTGGTCGAAAAAATAAAAAGAATCCAACCAGAAGAATCTAACGGGGAGACCCAGAGACCCCACTAGAAACGAGTCCACGAAACCTACACTTGGAGGAAAATCTGCGGAGAACAAGGATATTGGCCATCCAATCGAACTGGATGCAGTGTGACCCCCATTGGCTGCCACAATTGGCGGCCAAAAAATATATGTCTTAGTGGAGCAGCACTCACCATCCATTTGAGGCAATCCAAGCAGCCCATTTGTGAAGCGGCATGGATCGGTGCCATGCCGTCGCGTGCGCGCACGTACAGTGAGCCCCCGGCCTCGAGGACCAGAAACTTGAGCACCTCCAGGTGGCCCTCCTGCGCCGCCAGATACACGGGCGTCACATCGTTGTCCATTTGCGTATTGGCGCTGCAATTTAGTGGCAAGAAAGAGACATACAATTTAATTAAATGAAGTAGAGCTCCAATTAGTCGCAACTCAAATAAAGGCAATGGATCAGTCAGTGGTGGTAATGAGCAAAAAAGTGGCACGAATCGGTGGCAGCCAAAAGCAGCTGCCACTTGGAGTTAAATGAGCAAGTGACTCGAGACTGGTCTGTAGTCTTAATTGGTCTCCAAAGAGTCCAAAGACTTCTAGAACTTGTAGAGTGCTAGACACCCTCATCCCCCCATGGATGCTTCTCCCATGGAAAACTTAGCCAAGCACCTCACGACACTGCGGCGATTGTTCTGCTCCTTGCGGCCACCTCCTCCTCCCATCATGGGCGTGGCCTCGTCCTCCTCGTTCGAATCGGGATCCTCGATCTCCACCGACGACTTGCGATGATGCAGTGGCTCCATCTCCAGGCAGGGCGAAGGCTTCAGCTCCAGCTGCAGCTCCCTGACCTGATCCTGCTGCTGCTGCTGGTCTTGTTGGTGCTGCTCCTCGTGGTCGTCCGAGTCCTGCTCCTGGTGGGGATGCTTCTGTTGGTTTTCCTGGCTCTCGACCAGATCCGACTCGGTGCTGCTGTGCTGGACACTGGTGGTGAGGATGGCTACCTCTGCGGCGTGGATGATCGTGTGGATGTCATTGTTGGACTTGGATTTTTGCTTGCTCCGGCGGTAGGAGGTGAGGCTGGTGGTCATCCGGCCGAGGAGGCCCTTCTTCACGTTGATGGTCGAGAAGTAGCTGGCGGTGGAAGCGGTGGTCAATTGGATTGGACGGTTCAATCGGTGGTTGCGGAGTGCATAATTGCTCGGGGGGTGTGTCGAGTGTATTTTTCAGAAGGGATTTCTATTTATTTTTTATTTTTTACATCAAGTGCTTGGTGGTGCTTCCTCTTTTTATGGTTCTTTGGTGAGTCTATTGTTTATATTTTTATTTTTATTTTTTTATTAATTAGCTTACCATTCACTGCTTTCTGATTTAGTTCGGGTTTAGTTTCTGATCGATTTTGTCTTTATTTTGATTTTGATTTCCATTCAAGTTCACCAAAAAAAATACCCAGTTAGCTTTTCACTTTCGTTGGGACGCTGCTGCTGGGTGACTCTTGGCTTGTTCCGGTTATGTTGCATCTGTGTCTTTGATTTTCCTAGTACCGTTATATGCACCGTACGCACCACACACTGCACAAAGAGCTTTAAATTATGGAACTGGTTTAGGAAAAATCACTTAGCCATTGACAGCGTCTCTGTAGCTGATTTGCATATCGAGTTTGTCTTTATGGCTGCCGTTTTCAGTTATAGTTTCTGGTTAATGGTTCATTTTTTTTCACTTTATCACCGCAGCCCGGGCCTCTGCAGAAACCGAAAGTCTCTATCATCTAACTCTGTACTGGGAGATGGGAGCTGGGAGCTGCCTGTCCGCCTGGCCAAGTGGCTGGGCCTTGATTAAAGCTGGGCCCCCTAGATATTCGAGATGAGCGATCTGCTCGACAAACTTCTAGCAGAGACTTCTCTTCTCCTCTCGCCCATGCACATATATATACATATATCTCTACATCCATCTATATAGCTATCTAAACTTATTTTATTTGATTTTTTTTTTTCGGGTGAAATTAACGCTTAAGAGCGAAACAAAAACTCTCTACGAGTTCCACGATCTGCACTTGTCTGCCACTGTTTTTGTTTCGTTTTTGGCGGCTTTCCACGGTGCCACAGTGGGGCAACAACACTACAGAGGAGCTATATTTGCTATATTTATTTGTTTAAGATCATGGCTTTATTTTAAAACTAAGACTGACTAGCAAAGTAAGCAAGCTACTAGCTAACAGGGCTGAAGTCAACTCTAATTATTATTCTAGATAGATTCTAGATTCTAGATATAGATACGATCTTTACTTGAATCTATATACTTTAGGTAATGGATTCTAAAAAGATACTCTTCCTTAAGAGTAAAAAGATACTTTAAATATCTTAAAACTTTAGATACTATTTCTTTGAGTTAAAAAACCTTAAGTTTGGAAAAGCCCAACCCTTGTGCCACTGTGCTTTCGCCCCCTGAGATTCAAAATAAGATTCATGAAGGCGTCGGAGGCGCAAATACTGCTTAAGACGATGATGATGATGATGATGGTATACTGGGTAGCCAGTATCTGTATCTTGTGCACTTAGTCAACTGGCTTACGACTTCATGGATATTGCCCACAGACTGACGGCAAAGAGCAGAGCTGAGGTGGAGGAGGAGGAGGAGCATGGAGTTGGGAGACTTTCCAGCGGCTTTCTTCGTCCGACTTCGGACTACTTGTTACATTTTCCAGCTTTTCTCGCTTTAGAAATGAATTGTAAACCAATTAAAGCCGATTTTTCGCATCTACCCGATGCTGTTTGTTTTTCGTTTTAATGCTTTTTGTGGTTTTTTTTTTATTTTTATTTTACTTCTCCAATGGCTGGATGGCTGGCTGAGCTTCTTCAGTAGGTGAAAATACAGTAGTAAGTAGTATTCCCAATTTGTGTCTCTCCTTGGCTCACATTTGATTTGATTTTTTTTTTTTTTTGCAATTTAATAATTATTTTTTAATTCATTTAATGTGTCTGTCTATACAATAGAAAATAGACAGCCAACTGCCACTGGAGAAAGACCGGAGAGGAGCTCTGGGGCCTCGTTAGAAATGCCAGTTGACAGTTATAGACTCGTTTATTTAATTGAACATTTGCGTGTTCGAATCCAGTGGCTGGCTCTATACGATCGAGAGAATGCAGAATGAAAGCCATACTATGCCATAGCCATAGACACAAATGGACCCACGGGACCCAGTTGCTATTAAGATGCTAAGATGCCTGGGTACTTGATGGAGATTGGAGATGGTCTTGACCATCATTTCCACTCGATAGAGGCTTGTGTGGGCAGCAAGTGCCGGTGGTTCTCTAATTGGATAGGGATTATGGGATAGGAAGTGTGTCTTCTTACAGGGGTCTTTTGCTTCTATTATTATCTGATAACTGGTCTAGTGTTTATTATTCTTACGAGTACTTTGTAGCTTCTTAAATTAATACCATTACTAGTTCTATACCTTTACTAAGCTAGTTCCAACAGGAAAGATTAATATCCTGTTAAAACTAGCTTGGTAACTAATAATCCTTCAATACTTATGCTAAGTTTCTAAGTTTGGTTACAAGTCCTATACTATTCCTACTCTTTTAATATTAACTAGCTCCCTTAACTAGCTCCTAGCTCCTTGCTTTCCTCCCCTAGTGTTAGCTTTATGCTCCATTCTTTTTTTATATTATTAATAATTTTTATAAAAATGCAGGAATATTAATTTCCTTCAAGTTTTAAGATCCTTCTTTATCTTGGTTCCAAGACATCTCCCATTTAATCCAAAAGAGTCTTTAGATCTTTAGTCCTTTAGGTCTTTAGTTAACTTAGTTCTTAGTTCTAGTTCTTAGTTTAAGAACTAATTTCATTGATTTTGGATTTTGGTTTGGTATTCTTCATAGAATATCATTAATTCTTTGTTGATTTTAGTTTCCAGCACAAGCACTGATGATCCTCTTCACACACTTTGCACTTTACACCCACACACACCTCGAGCACATACACTGGCAAAAAAAAAAAACAAAAGAAACAAGGCTGCAACGTTCAGGCCCGGCTAACTCGATTCCTTGGCCTCCTCCTGGCTTGGCCAATCGATTAGTGGCAACTGAATGTTGGCCAAAACCGTCGAGGCTGTGGCTACCTTTTCATGGTTGCGGTTACTGGATGAGCCGCTGCTGCTGCGGCGGCTGCTGCTGCGGATGTTGCTGCCGTTGGCTTAGGCATCTGAGTGTTGTTGTTATTGTTGCTATTACTCCAATTGTTTTTGTTGTTATTGTTGCTGTATGGATGGGCTACTGTTGGGAGGGTTGGCCACTACTGCAGTTCTTTGGTACACTGAAACTGTTAATTAATTCACGTTCCGATTCGTTAACTGCATTCGAGGCACTTTGAAGCGCGAAATTTTGTTTTTGCCACCGCGAGGGGCGCAAAAAGGGGGGGGGGCGGGGCCGTTGCCGCGGCCGCAGCCACAAGGCATCGGTGTTTAAATAAATTGCAAATGGTGTTTAAAGTCGCGTTTAAATCAAAAATTCAAATTCATTCTACGGCCGCATCTTGCCCGTAACGGTGGTGTGGTGGCCCAAAACGGTAATCGCGGCAATAAATACCCCAGAATATATTATATTATATGTATATATGTATAGCTGGACAGATATATAACTATATAGTGAGGTGAGTAGTCCGCGAACGAAAAAGCACCGTTCGCCTCGACCGGCCAAACGCGAATAGCCGAGCCACCAGCCACTGAAGAGTGGCCAAGAGTGTGGCTGGCTTCTTCCGCCTCCTCCTCTGCTGCTGCTTCGGCTGCTTCTTGGTCGGCTCAGCTGGTCACTGGGCCTGGGGTAGGGGTACGGTGTACGGGGGCGTGGTCAAACCAGCTCGGTGCCACAAGAAGCAGCAGCAACAAGAAACTGAGGAAAAACGCTTGCCATCGAGCTGTCGCCTCGTACGCAATATTATCAAATGGTGGCCAGCGAGGGTGGCTTTAAAAGTTCATAGGGTCTAGGGTGTTAATCTATCTTATATAGGATATATCTTTAAATATTTAATCGAAAATACTTAATCCTTTAGTGGTGGTGGAGGAGTTATAGTTATTTATTTTAAAACTCTTCAAGCCACCCTCGCTTTGGTCAACACTAGGAGCACACCATCTGGCTTCATTGAGGTGTCTTTGTACGCAAAATTATCAAACGGTTTGTGACGAGGGCAGACAGAGGAGTTCAAAGTTAAGAACTAAGAGAAGTTTAATTAAATAATTTAATTAAAATACTTATTTCCCTTCACTTAAGAGAAGGATATTCCCTTCCATAGCTTAGTTCTTAAATCCAACCATTAAACCACAATCGCCCCTCGCACATCTTGTGGTTTCTGTGTCAGTTGTCATGCCAATTGATCGGCCTCGGCGCTTGATAAATATGAATTTCAAGTCCGCCGAGCAGGGGATCCTCCATAGAAAGGGGATTACAATGGGGGGGCAGGCAGAGGCGGTGCTGCAAGATCAATTCTGCTTTTGATTCCTTGGCCGGCTGTCGGAAGGTGCTCCACTTCTGGAAAACTTGTTGCAACGGTGCTTTCCGCGGTGCTGCCGAGGCTGTTTTCCAGTTTGACTCCAATTGAAAATAGCACACGCCAGCACCAGCGCCAGCACCAGCGCCAGCCAGAGATAGACCCAAACTAGGATGAAGTGGAACTCCAACCAAGACTAGCACTGGCACTGGCTTTGGATCTGACTTGGCTTGGCCACAATTAAATGAATCGGCTTTGGACGATGAGCTGGTTGGAATTTTGAATTTAGGTGAAGAAGCAGTGGCCCAGTTGAGGAAGCCTCTTCTTCGGAAGACTCTGTCCATTCTTTCTACTTAGTTGGATGAGCTAATAAGTTTTAATTAGTTTACTTAATAGACTGGAGACTGAAGACTGGCTACTGGAGACTGGCGACTGGCTACTGGAGCTCTCTGCCTGCTTAGGACTCTTGATTGATTCGCTTCTATGATAATCAGCTCGTTACGGAGTCTAAAGACTCATTAATTCTATGCACTAAGTGTTCTAAATGCTAAATTCTTAAAAGTTAACTTGCTAATTATTTTAAACTAGTGAGAGAATTAGTGAGAAAATCTTGCCACATAATGCCACTTGTTTGCCACAAGTGCCACACTGAAATCGTTAGAAACTCCGCTGAATGAAATCCGAGTCAGAAACGAGGGAAATAATAAACAAAACAATGTCGGCAATCGATCTTTCCGACCGACTTCCCGCTCGCCCGCCAATCTGCCAATCAGTTTTCCATTATCCATTATCCGATATCGTCTGCTGAGGTAGCTTTCACCCCTGGTAGTAGTCTACTCACCAAATATCCACGGATGCTGCCACCAAGAGCTGGACACAGTCCAGGCAGCCTCTGGCGGCGGCGTAGTGCAGGGCCAGAGCTCCTCCGTTGGGTCTTTCGCTGCCGGAAACGCTACCCGGATGGTGCATCTGGCCCATGGGGGAGCCCATCGCGCCGATTGTGCCCAGACCGGTGAGGCTGCCGAGGCCCATTTGGCCCAAGGCGCCCATGCCGCCCAAGTACGAGTCCAGTTGGTGGGCGTGCATTCTGCTTAGGTTGTTGTTGCTGTGGCTGATCAGCTTGTTGTTGTTGTTGTTGTTATTGTGGATGTTGATGTGGTTGTTGTGCAGTTTGTTGTTGTGGTTCAGGTGAAGATTCGAGTTAAGAGCATAATCGTTTATGGTTCTAAAAAAGAGGTCAGAAGTTGATTATTTATTTATTTTTTTTTTTATTATTTTTATTTTAGTTTTTAATTTAATGCTTTTAGTGGACTTGGGGGGCTTTGGGGAAAGTCTCTTTTTCTTGAAAAACCATTGCCTACTTGTGGGCTGGTTTGGAAAAGAAATTGCAGCCATCTTTTCCAAACAAAAGACTTAAGACACAAACTTGAAATCAAAAGACTAGAAACAGACGAGCAGAGAATACAAGAATTATGATGAAAACTTGGTAAAATACTTAAAAAAAAAGGATCTAGACACAAACTTAAGAAGAAAATTCAAATCGAAAGACTTAAGGTACAAACTTGAAGAAACAATGTCATAAAACAAGAGACTTAGGACACAAACTTGCAGAAAAAAGCTTCAAAACAAAAGGCAGGAGACAAACTTTAATGAAGAACACCAGATTCAGGACATACCCTGACGAAATGCTTTAAAACCAAAGACTCGAGATACAAACTAGAAGAACAAACTTGAAATCGTAAGACTAAGGACATGAACTTAAAGAAGAAACTTCAAAACAAAAGACTTAGGACACAAACTTGAAGAAAAACATCATAAAACAAGAGACTTAGGAGACAAACTGTAAGATTCAGGACCCTGAAGAAGTACTTTAAAACCAAAGACTCAAGACATAAACTTAAGAAACTTCAAAACAAAAGACTTAGGACACAAACTTGAAGAAAAATCCCAAATTCGGGCAGAAAAACAGTTGAAATCAATGTAAAGTAACCAATTAAGACAAAAACGAGTAGTCCCCCTCCGAGTAATTGAATTTAAAACGAAAACGTTTTAACCAAAAAAAAAAAAAAAAACGTCGCTTTAACTCGCACCACAGCGGGTAATTAATCAATTAAGCGAGGGAAGTACTTGCTATTAATTGTGATGGCATCTGCTGCACAGCCAGCCTCAGTGTCTGCCCTTTTCCGAATCAGTAAACCAGGTCAAGTCTACCCCCGACGCTGCGATGCTGATTCACGCCGCAATTTCCGCGCCCACAACCAACAACAATGATTATAGTGATTATAGAAGATTATAGAAACAAAAACAAAAACTTGCCAACAAATTAATTGAAAGGCACATTTAGATGCGAAAAGTAACCGGCACTTGTGGCGCGACATTTGTTTGGTTTGTTTCCTCACTTTGGGGCAACCGAAAGACAACGACGACGACGACGACGACGACGACGACGACACTTTCTTCCAGTTTATTGCATCAAAACGGTGGAAACGGGCCGGTAGCAGGTGTCAGCAATTCAGGGCAGGGTGGCAGGTGCCACAAAAAAACAAAAAGAAAACCAAATAAATAAGCCAGCATGCCCAAAAAGCCATAAACACGAGTGCGATGTGAGAAAAAAAAAAAAGTGAAATAAACGATTTGGCAAGAGCTCTTGGGCCAGTTGGTCACCAAAGGCGGCCAACGGGGTTAGGAAAACGATTACTCTTCCCAGGGCTGTGGACCCCAATCTTTGGCTTGGTGATATAACTAGTGTCTCTGGTGGTGGTTCTGAGATCTGCTCTCCATCAATTAGCCATCATTGGTGTTCGAATTAGTGGCGACAGAGTTGGGGAAACTTTCCAAGAGTGGAGAGAGAAAGGAAGTGAATCATAATTCAAGAATTATGGCTTTGGATGTTACTATTGTGGGAATGCGGTGGCTTGAATGGGAACCAGTCGAGTTGGTTTCCTATATTGTTGAGAAGCTCTCTTCATATCCTCAGACTCCTTGAGAGACCTAGACCTAGACCAAGACTTTGTTTACTTTGGCCACTAATCGATTATTAGTCGCGTGACTATTTTTAAACACACTGTTTAGTCTCTGTTCTAGTTTCGGTGACTCTTCTCTCTTCATTGGCGATTTCTTTTACCTCAATTTGATGGCTATGTGGCGGCACTTGTCGCATGGCACTTCCCCGGACTTTTTCGCCTCCTTGTCCGGCTCCTTTTCCGCCGGCGCTGCTATGGTGGCGTATGTGGCCTCCTCCTGCCTGCTCTCCGTCTCAATTTTGGCTTTGGGATCAGGCTCAGGCTCCTCGGTCTCGCTGGCAAAGTCCACCACCAGTTCCTCGGTGGAGTCCTGCCTCCCACCCATCTGCCGCCGGCTGAAGTAGCCCACATGCTGCTCCACCCCGGCACTGGCGTCCTTCAGGATGCGCTCGTAGGCGGCGCTCTCGTTCTCGCTTAGGGCGAAGCGCTGCTCGAAGACCCGCACGGGCAGGGCGCTCTTCCGCAGGACCTCCATCCTCTTGTGCCGCAGTTCGATGGAGAATATCAGCCGGACCCGCACCAGTCGCCGCAGACCCTGCTGCGTAGACCTGGCCCGCTGCAGTCGCCTTCGCTGCTGCCGAAGCTCTAGCTTCTCCAATCCCTTCAAGGACTTGGGATCAACGGCTCCCACGTGGTTGTAGTCCGCCACGGAGGTGAGATCCAGGGCAGACCGGGTGCGTCGCCACGGCACCAGGTCGAAATGTGAGCCCGCCCAGGGATGGAAGTTCACCTGGCTGACGTTGTTGCTCCGATCCTGCTTGAGTATCCAATCCGAGGAGGCGGCGGAGGACGGTGGCTGGGGCTTCTGGTTCTTCTGGACCTTGACGAAATCGTTGCGGGCACTCGCCTCGGGCTTGTGTCGTTTGTACCGCGGCACCAAGGTGGCCTCCAGCATTCGGGCATCCAGACCGTAGTCCCGACGCAGCTGCTCCAGCTCCCTAGAGCTGGCCGTAAACTGAGCTCCGTTCCACACGATCACCGGCGCACAACTGCCCATGGCCCACCAGCACGCCACTCGTTAATGGCTCTGAGGTTCTGGCTAGGTTCTGAGCTCCAAATTAGTTCTCTCTGGTGGCTCTTTTGTTTCCCTAATTTTCTAATTTCGTTTTCCGGTTTCCGTTTCGATCGTATGTATATATGTATGGATATCGCGAGTTGCAATTGGGAACTGCCAATTTGGAACTTTGTCGCGACTTCTGCGTCCGCTTTCCGTGACGACGGCGACGCAAATGGCCAAAAAATCCAAGCCAACTCCGAGCTAACTCCGCGCCGGATTCCGATTCCGAGTCTACTACTCGGATTCCTATGCAAAAATTGTTGCGCCAACTGCGCTGCCAGCGCTAGGCATGATTAAGAGTTTTTTTTTGTTATTGTTATTGTTATTGTTATTATGGGCTATTTTGTTGGGGTTGCCACTGATACACTGAGAGAAACTGCATCACAGAAGTAAATATTATTCAAAATATTAGTCTTTAGGAAGGAAATAACTTCTTAGGAAGGAGGTAGTACTCTCTACTCTTTATACTTTATTATTATTATACCCTTGCAGAGGGTATTATAATTTTGTCCAAAAGTGTGCAACGCAGTGAAGGAGACATCTCCGACCCTATAAAGTATATATATTCTTGATCAGGATCACCTCCTGAGTTGATATGAGCATGTCCGTCTGTCCGTCTGTCCGTCTGTCTGTCTGTCTGTTTCTACGCGAACTAGTCTCTCAGTTTTAAAGCTATCGTCTTGAAACTTTGCACACACCCTTCTTTCTTTTGCACGCAGTATATAACTCGGAACGACCGGGATCGGCCGACTATATCCTATAGCTGCCATATAACTGATTGATCGGAAATGGTATAACTTTGGTGTTTTTAGAGTTAGAGAGTTCAAATTTGACACGAGTGCTATTTTTGGCAAAACATTACGACATGCCAAATTTCATAAGGATCGGCCGACTATATCCTATAGCTGCCATATAACTGAACGATCGGAAATGACCCAACTTTCGTGTTTTTGAAGATAGAAAGCTGGAACTTGGTACAGATTAAATTTTGATCCATCCTACCAAATTTCATAAGGATCGGCCAACTATATCCGATGTTTGCGATATGTATCCGGTTTTAGCTGCAAGGGTATATAAACTTCGGCTCCGCCCGAAGTTAGCTTTCCTTTCTTGTTATTATTAACTTTTATTTTCTCTCAGTGTATTGTCGCAACTTTGAAGAGTCGCTGGCTGGCTGGATGGCTGGCTGGCTGGGCTGCCCCCTCTGCTTGATTGTATTATTTATTTATTTTTCACGCTCACTGCCATGTCAACTCTGACTGCTCTGGCCCGGACTGCTCTGAGCTCTGGGGCAACCCTCTGCCATGTCTCACATCACTGCGCACGCGTCAACGCGCCAAAGACCGAATACCGAAATAAAAAATACAATATTATTAACTAAAATCGCGGGCAGAGTACATCCATTCTCTGCTAATTGACGGCATCAGGCCATTGGCATTGTGCCGGATAATGCCTTCCCATAGTTACCTATATGGTTATATAGTATGGTTATATATTCAAATCAAAATGACGATTGATCCACCAGTTGCATCATTGTTTCGGGCTTCTAAAAATGATTCTCTCCAAAATCCTTGGTTGCCACACATCCGAGTGGCATGTCGAATATCAATTATGGTTTATACATATCCATCTTAGAACAGCTTCGGGCTCCACTCAGGCATGTCGAAAATAAACGATTTCGAGGGCTGGCCGGGCACTTAATGGGTTCCAGCTTCTTGACTCGAGGGAGTTGGACGTCCAGGCTGACTCCACCTGACTTCTGAGTCACAGAGCCGCGTGCTCAAGTGGCGTGAAGAGTTTCCATGGTTTCTGGTTCAATGGCGCCTGCGAGTGTCATTTTATGAATAAATATTACGTGACTAGCACATCCGCTGCTGCTGATTCATATCTAGGGGGGTACTTTTCTCCCTGTGTAGTAGTAGCCAGACTTGGGAGTTCAAGTCCTCAACCTTCGCTTTCGGTTTGCATAATCGCTCCTCTCATCGCCCTTTTGGCAATGTGACCCCGAACCCCGGCCAGGCCAATGAAAATGAAATGAAAATGCCAGGTGACAAGGGAGATGGTAGATGGTAGATGAGAGCCATTAACCGACAGAGTTGGCTTAGAAAGGCAGTCCGGAGTCGGAGTCTGTCTGGGCCAAGCCATAATATGCCCAATATAACAGAGCGCATTATGAGGCAGAGGTGTTGTTTTGACTGGCCATCCATCCAACCAGTCACCTGCCCATCCAATCCATCCGCATTTCACGCATCTTCCATTCAAATTCAAATCGAAAATCGCCTGAACCGAAATCCGAAGGTTGACAAAGTGGATGCGGCCTGCAGAAATCGCATTCAGCGTCGATACTGCCGATGTGACACACATCCAATGGCCATATTATACGTTTATTATGAGCATATTATTGTATGTTAGTTACCCGGGCCAGCCCACGGGCCATGTGAGGCGCAAAATTGTGCAAGGTGGCTTTGTTTCGCCAAGTGGATTAGCATCAGCATGGCGATAACCAATTGGCCAATAACCTGAAGCTGCCTAGCCTGGCCAGCACAGAACCGTTAGCCAGATAGCCACATAAACGAAATTAAATAACATTGTTTTGGCCAAGAGGCTCTCTTCATATTCAAATCTAGCTTCCTGATGTGACACAAACTAGAGCTCTTCAAGCCAATCACTGGCGAGCTATTCTGGTGGCCTGGCCAACACCCTGGCCAACATCCAGTGGCTGCTCCAGTGATTTTGAAGGGTAAACCCATAAAAACATAAACATAAACAGAAACGGAAAATGATTTCTTTTTTGGAAAAACAGTTTTTGTTGCGCGGGTAACTGTGCCTTTCCACTCAACTGGGATGGGAAATGATCGTAAAAGCCACCACCACCACCACTACCACCACTACCACCCAGCCCCAACAATAAGCACATTAATAATAGTGGCCGGGCAGAGCCATAAAACAGCGAAAGAAGAAACCAAAATGTTGTTACTGCTATTTGGGGTTTGATCCATTTAATTATGAATTTTTGGGTATAATTGTGCAACATGGAGACGAGCTCCAAACAGTATGGATTGTGGAGTCTTCAACAGAAAATTGTTTTAAATTTGTGCAGATATTTAAAAAGCCAATTACCCACAATTGGGTCAATCTCTAGAGCAGACAGTACTATATAATGGTAATAGTAGTACCATTATCCAACCCATAGCTTCATCAAAACATTGAACTTTGTCAGCTTCTATGTATACTTCCGATACTTTTACTTTCCAGATTTCATTGTTTTAAGATTTCTTTTGTTTTTTATTATTTATTTTTTTTTTTTTCTATTTTGCTTATCAAAAGCAGAACACACCGCTAGCATTCGATCTAACTGTAAACAGCGAGAGATGATTGGCTTCGTTTTCATTTCATCCATCGGATGGATGTATCTTGTAGCTGACAAATAGTGGCCCCATCCGTCAGATGCGAGAGCTATGGAGAGCTAGAGCTGGCAATTCAAATTCAAATTTTCGAACGGCCGAGAATCGAAACGCGTCAAGTTTTCACTTTCGTATATATGCGATCTTTTCATTAATATACCTTGTGTTTGTTTCTATTTTTTGTTTTTTTTTTTGGCGGAGAAAGAAGCATTGGAGAGAGAAAAGAAAGAGTAGAAAGCAAGAGTCTATGTTGAGGTGCTAAACTCCAAGAACTATTAGTCATCTAACCAGGACGAGGGCAGGCCTGTCCCTTACCTTAAAAAAAACCTTATACCTGCCTGCCCTTCCCTGCCCCCCCTGGCAGTGCCTCGTTTCAATCATCCATTCATGCGAGTCTGTGAAAGTAAGCCATGATGAAGTCCGAGAAGAGCCACCACTGCAAACATTGCAACAACATCCAAAGCCTCCAAAAGCCAACAAATGGGGAAACAAAGAGAGACATCAGCCAGTGCAACTGCAGACCCACCTCTCCGGGGCCAAACTCCGTCGAGTGGGTCTCGGGTTGTGACAGGTCGCGGTCCAAGGCGAGGCGAGTTCAGTGAATGCCCTGCCTCGAGTCGGGTGGGAGGTGGAGTGGGGAATGCAAATGAGTCTATGAGTCTATACCCTTCACCACTTACATTAGAGATCTGGGTGATCCTAACAAGCCATCCTAACAATCCATCAACCCTTTCCACGCACTCTGACAAGAAACACATTACTTTTGAGCCGCCAAACATCAATGAACCTGGCGATGCGATTTATGGCCTGGCTTTCCGCCACTCTGCTAATGACCAAATCCGAACAACTGGCCACCAAATCGAACGAAACACTTGGACAAATGGCCAATTACGGTTGGGGGTTGGTTGGGAGGAGGAGGAGGATCGAGTGGGAAACCCGTCGTCTGATGAAAGAAAACATTGTCGCTGGCGAGGCAAACACAACACAACAAAAAAATAAAAAAAAAATGTCGTATGTAAACGGTTGCCTTAATAATCGACATTGGTGGAAAGTTGCAACTGCAACTGCAACTGCAGCCGGTTATTGACCGGCTTGGGAGATTCGCTAACACCAACCGGGCCGTGTGTCGTGTGTGGTGTGTGGTGTGTGGGGCTGGAGCGCCCGACAGTCTGGGCCGGGCCAACGAAAGCAAAAGGATGATGACTGCCCGCCTAAAGCCAAACTATATAGAAGAAAAAAAAGTAATAATAAGATAAACAGACGGCGTGGAGGGAGCAAACCAGTCCTCGATAGCCGATAAGCAGAGTTTCACTTTTACTTGCCGACCGACTCGCCTTTTATTTATTTTTGGACGAGGCGCGTTTTGAAATCAGAAAGAGCGTGCCTAATTAACGCAGGCAATCACAAAATTGCACCAAAAAAAAAATAATAAGTCAGCGACACGGCCTATTCAGGTGTTACGCGTGATCTCTTTCATTGGCGGCCAATCATCATCACCCCGATCGGTTGCCAAATCTCCCAAAAAAAAAATAATTACTCCGTAGGCGTCTGCACTCCGAAACTGGAGTTGAACGAACGGCTTGCGAGATTGCGGGGTACACCGCACCGATTCGTTAGACCCCAGAAAGCGCGACCGACTTCCTCC